TTGTAAATCATTGTATCCTGAAATTTCGAGCTATAAATAATGAGAATTTTTTATGAAACCTGCAATGTATTTTTTTCTTAGTTTGTAAATGTTTATAATTCTTTATTAAAATCATTTATCTTGTTTCAAGGCAGTGTTTCTCAATATTTTCTTATGATGATGACCTATCAGCACTCAACAATTAATGATGAAAAATCAGCCCATTTAATGAAAATATACCAAAGATATTCAGACTTGTTTTCTTTCGGCATAATAGTTGCTGATTAGGCTTAATATCTCATCTGTTATTTCTGTGATGTCTTACATAGTATCTCTCGTTAATTTTCTTTTCTTAGCTTTAGCTGCGTCGACGAAAATATATGCACTGCATTACCTAATGTTTTCTTTCCAAAACGATGATGTATGGTTGTTTTTCTTCTTATACTCTCTTATTCTTCTTCCGAAGAGAGTCCTAATGAAAAAATTCCTTTTCTCTATCTTTGATACTGCGTACACGCAAAATTTTATGTATTTTGTTCTGTAATGTTGGGCTTTTCATGCAATGAAATGAGGTAGCAAAAATTTTCTCATAGAATGTCATATTTGTTACATAATTATTGAAAAGATGGAATTGATTAGTACATTTATCGATTTAACTGATTAGACAGAATATTATTCTGTCACAAGAAATCTAAAAGAACTGACAAGGATACTTTATTTCCATATTAAAGACTCAAGAAAAGTTTCTCTTTAAATGTAATGAAAGCAGAAATAATGTTCTATTTTTCTGTAACATTTGATCATTCTTTAACTAGTTTTATAACAGTATAATATCTGTTAGAAGTATTGGTTATGATATATGACGATAATATTAGACCATATTCTCTTTAATATATATTCTCCTTTTGGATGCTGATATTCTCTATTCTCACATCTACACTATGTATACTGCTACAAAGCATAGCTATGTACAGAATAGAATAAAATATTATTTTCATTAACTCCATTGCAATAAAAAAAGAACACAAGCTATACGACAATAAATATTTACATTTTCCTTATAGAAAAATATTTATGTATGTGGCTATTTATATCATGAGACGGACAGAATGGCATAAGACTTCAATATTTTGATACATGTCTCATGACATAGGATGAAACAGAAATAGGGAACAATTATCCTATGGTTACCAGGGATCAAAATATTTACGTCTTATTTTCTCCCATGGTATAGGAAATTCTCCTCCTATGCAACGCTCTGACCGGTATAAATATCATTTGCGCGTCATACATATAGATACACACAATTGCATATATTCATATCGAAACTGTTGTAGCGCTGTTAACAGAGGTAAGCTTGAATAGTATTTCCTCCTTGTGTCTGTTGTTACCGACATTTATCATATTAGAATAAATTTATATTCAAAATATTGTTTTTATGTACTAGGTTGGAAATAATATTTTGATAGGGGGATACCGCTATATTTTCAAATAGAGGCAATAATGAATTTTATATTAAATGAAAGCCTGTCAAAAATGTGATTTATTGATACTAAATAGTAAGGATTATGAAAACTTTTTAACATCGAACTTAAGAAAATTTCAGAAATTTTATGCTTTTTTTGCGGTGGAAAAGTAAAGCATCAGTAATTGAAAAATGGATTTAAATGTTTTTCTTGGATATTTTTACATGATTCGACAGGTTGAGTCATTTTTTTATGATAAAAAATTCAAAAAACTATTTGGAAAAATCTTTAAAAAATTTTAAAAAGTCATATTTTTTTTATGAAAATGCATCCAATAAGTATATTTTCAAACATTTTACATTTATGTAAAATGTTTGAAGGGTGTGGGTGTGGGTGTGGGTGTGGGTGTGGGTGTGGGTGTGAGTGTGGGTATAGGTAGAGATTCCCACAGCCACACCCACAGCCACAGCCACACCTACACCCACACCCACACCCACGCCAACACCCAGAACAGCACACTCAATACCTAATCTCCAATATTTTATTCGTTCAAAATATTTCGAGCAGGTTAATGATAAACAAATTTATTCTACAAAATCTTTCGTACCATCCGTTATTGATGCATAAATATAACGATTTTCAATACATTCCGCTACTTTATCAAGTTTCAGTCAATGTGTTAACAAGCTACTTCATGCATATTTAATATTTAAAATCATGAATTCAACTATTCAGCTAGGGTCTGGATGTGGTTGTGAATAGCTGTGGTCATAACCACACTCATCCACACGCACACCGACACCCTAAAGAGTAGCGTAATTATGAGGAGTTCTTGAAAAAAAATTAATGTTGAGAATCATTATGATCAGGATGAAGTAATATTGCTTGAAAACTATTTTATTCTACAAACCTTAAGTCTAACGACAGTGTAAATTGGTTGTCGTTCTTCTGATTAATTCCTGTTTTTATTTATTATTCCAATCTTGCGAAAGTGTGCGCCATCTTTCAGTTGTTCTTTTTTTATTGATTGCAGCAAATAAACCACTGAAATGTTTATCTTTTCTTCTTATCTGCAGCTGGTCATGTGAGTGTTGTTGATCTGGAAAAGTATCTAACAACGACTAGATTTGAAGTTGAATAAGAATGAACCTCAAGTGAATTGAACTACTTCTTCAACAGAAAATGCGATTGATCTGTTATCGTTGATTTTACCTCCATTATTATCAACCATTGAATCGCAAGGAACAGTATGTAACAATAAAGTTAAGGATGAAGTTGTAGTTATACGAGTAAAAGAAATTATGTAACGAGTCATCAAATAGCACACAGATGATCCTAATTGCGACTCGAGAGTTATGGCTAAATATCATCTGAGAAAAACTAACATATGTTGGTGCTAGTCAAGACACAAAATACATATAAACTCATAAGATGAAGTTTGAGCTATAACATAACACCTATATAATTAATGATCTTAGTGAAAACTATGAAAAAGTTATGTACTAGTAGAATTATAACAGCTAATCAATGTATGACGAATCAATTGAAAAATAGGGGTCAGACAAGAAATACTAATGATGAAATATTTGTATTAGAAGATGTCCTTTCCGATTTCATAGTAGAAGTTAGATTTGTTAACGCTGAATTTTAATTTTTTTTTTCTTCTCAGCACTCTGATGAGAATTTTTTGGAGCTAATATATTGATAACTTTTAGGTAGGAAATGATAATATTTCGTGTGAACCAAGTATGACAGTAATTCTAGTATACGATACAAAATTTTTAGTGATAAAAGTAAAGCTCAGTAATGGACGAAAGAACGTGAACAAGCAACGGCTTGCCAAGCTTAGTTTAGCTGATCAAGGTGAGTTTCAAAACCATTATCATAATCACATAGTGAAATTTATTCAACAATTAGGAACCAATATAGAAATTATTGATAGTTCAAGAAAGTTTATTCACGTTACTTGATTCTCCGATTACTGATATAAAAGAAATAAAATGGAGTCTAACAAATATGGTGGATACTCCCTAAATTTTCTATGTCAAAAGTGTAGCAATTTTCTAAGATTCGGTTCTAATTTGGCAAAGAATGAATGTGAATCATATGAACCTGCATGAAATGCATTTATAGTCGACCTCTTGATCTGAATGAGCATAGAAATCATTCTGGGAAAAACTTTGTGGATATATAGTATACTTTCTCAATGCAGTGTACTAAATCGGACAGAAGAGTATGTTGAACTTTGCAACGTCACCAATTTTCTTCTTACTTTTTTGTCTTTTAGTTTCATACTGTATATTGTGTTCAAACTAAACATGCACTGAACTCGAATCGTTCGAACTCTATTCATGAGTAAGTAGTCAGGAAAAAAACACCGAATCGTTCGGGTTCGATGCATGCCTAATTCAAACAATAAGGAGGTACTGTTTGGTAATTTGAACATTAAGTGTTTCAATAACTGTTAAGATTGTGAGAATGTTGAATATATGAACTCCTTTGAGATGAACATGCTTACTCTATTCTTGTTTTTTTTTACATCAAATTGAAATCTGATCTCTGTAGTTACACGTATGTAGATCTATCTTTACGAAAGAATGAGACGATTTAGCGAACAACTGCGCAGGCCATGACAGGTGAGAAGAGTTAAATCAATAGAGAGAGAAGTTGAACAAACATAAAGTGATTAAAATTTAAAAGCTCCACAGAATAAATGTGATAAGAAAGACAGTGTTAACTTGTATAACACAAATGTTGTTGAAAGATGATTAAAAAGTTGAGTTCCAATACTAATACAACATTTATTGATATTCAACGAAAGAAATCTTTTGGTCAGTTTGAAAGAGCCAAACTCCAATAGTATAAAATCTAATAGAGACATACAATTTACGTATACCAATTCCTATATGAGCTGAGTCGGTTGCTTGAAAGTACACACAAATGTATAAGTAACATATCTAAAGTTGATTGAATTGCAAAAGAAGTCAAACAATGTTTTAATCAGACGAATTAATTTACTTAAATGCTATATATCGATTAGTTTTCCTCATTGTTATGTAACAATTGCAGAATAAGATAATACAATCTCAGCAGATTTAATTCTGTAACGTTCACATCATGCTGGCATAGAGGAAGATGAAGAGAAATATACCATCATTGGTTGACTTTTGATATTATTTTTGATTTTGAACCATAGGGAGTACTAGAGTTACCTGTTTGTGGATTGATTTTCCTGAATTGTTGTCATAACTAACAATTATTTCTATTGTAATTCTTTTACATGCTGAGTGTTTCATTGACAACTACGGATTATGTTCCGTAGTCCCTATAATAAGAATAGTGTTTTAAAGTTGACTTCTTTGTCTTACGTGAAGTTTTGTCTTGTTATGCTTTGATGCTTTTTCTTATTATAACAGAAAGATAAACATGTGCATTCTAGCGCCATAAACAAAGCGCATAAAATTTTTTTTGTTTCAGATTAACATTAGAAGTACCGCGAATAATCCTTGGTATTGTAGTAGCTGCTCACTGACATTGAAATCCAGTAAATCTGATATGGCAACGAATCAGCAAGTACCACAGCAATGCCCAACAAATTTTCAAATCATTGAACCGTTGTTCTATCGAGAATTTGAGGCAACAGACCCAGTTGGCCTTGAATGGACTTTAGAACGAATGCCACGAAATGTGAACACCAAGCGTATTAAATTGGATAAGAATCAAATGTCCGGTAAATGGCTTTATACAAGTTACAACACAAATGGAAAGTAAATAGCCTTATCGGATAAATTAAAACAATCTTTTCACTGATTTCATAGATTCCGCTGCTTACGGTGTATGAAAAGCGGTGTCACAGACATTGATCCTACATGGTCTTCTGCTTACACCACTATTCTTTTTAGAGCTTACTATGGGCCAGATACAGATGAAAACGGACAACAATGGATTGGTGGATGGATTCAAATGAAGGTCTTTGCGCAGCAATGTAAGAATTGCGATGAATATGTCACGGGCGAATTAGATGATCAAAAGTATCACAATGTGGTAAAATGGTTACATCAATGGATTGCTCATAAGTTCTATGGTTATCCCCTTCCTCGTTTTGGCTATAGAGGAAGAAGAAGTGATCGACATCATCTTGGCAACCGATGCGAAGCATGTGAAGCAGGATGGTGTCATTATCGTGGAAAATAGAGTCAACAAAAAAGCTCTCTTATTGCAGAACGATGGTGAAATCAAAATATACATATATATATTCGTTAATTATGCGTTTGGATCTTTTTTAATTAATCTAAAAATCCAATTAATGATTCATATTAGTTATTCATTTATTTTTCTTAAGAAGGAATTGTGATAATGATTGTAAACACTTATTAAAGGCGAAGATTTTCTCTCTATTCTATCCAAAACATATTTGAGTTTGGCAATAGTCCTATAATTAGAATATGAGTATGTTTATTTGCATAGATTCATCTAACCTTAGCTCTTCCTCGTAATTAAAGGGTGTGGGTGTCAGTGTCGTTGTTTGGTTCAGCAACACCCACACCCCAAACCCACATTCTTCACAAGCTAGAGTATTCTGTTTAATACGGTTTATACTGTTAAAACTGAGCTGAAAGGTCCTTTCTGTCTACGATAAAAGACATTGGTTTCTACATCCATTATTGGAAGTATTTCCTGTCCATACACATGTTCATCGTGAAAAATCGACATTCGAATGAATTCTTGGCTTTAGGATCGTTTCAAATTCTCGCACAAAACTGTGGAGACACTTTGAGCGACTATCTCAGCCATCGTCGTCGTGTGTATCCGTGGTTTAATTGAAATGGATATGGGTGTAGGTGTGGTGGTATCAAGAGGAAAAATCGAGAATTCGTTTTTCTGAAGTACGAGTGAAGTACAAGTGAAGTACGAAGTGTTGCTTTTTCCCCCTTGGATGGTGTGTGGGTGTGGGTATGTCGATGTGGATGGGATGGTAGAGGGTGTGGGTGTGGGTGGGTGTGGGTGTGGGTGGGTGGGTGTGGGTGT